GTCAGAAAATGAGCTTTCAACGCTTCAGTTTTCCCAGGTTTAACATCTCTGAATTCTTTATTTGTTGTGAAACTACCATGGTTTCAATATAAATTTTAGTAGCTTTCTAACTTAATTCAAGTAGAGTCGCGCGTTTACGAATGGACACTTTAGATGCCGGGTGACGTAGTTGCTGATGTTTATGCAGCAAAAATGAAGAGGTGCAAGACTAAACGGAAGAAATGCTGCTTTCTATGAAAGTCCTGAAGACAGCAAAGTAGTTAAGCTAACACATACCCAATCTTTTATAACGTTTCGGAAGTGAATCTTTCCTGAAACCTGTGAATACTTTGGCATTTTCTTTCAGAGAGTTCGCGTAAGAAATATTTTTTGAGTTTCTGGAATCACATTCATTTTTTTCCTGCACGCGTTCTCGTTTGACACATTTGTTCAGTCTTCGTTGTTGTTTGCTCTTTTGAAATTACTATTTTAATGATAAGTCCACGCTTTTAGTCATATATTGGGACTTAGGAAAGCCCTTTACTGAACGCAGAAATGAAACGCCTCGACAGTGGTTTTGACCAGTTATACTCTTACCCTTGTCTTCAAACCTCGGCTAGTACTTTCTTAATAACGTTGACCGTTTCTGTATAAACGTCGTGGACATGCGATTCCATTTTGATTCAGTTGTACCTCCTTTGTTTCATTCTTCGTCACATGTGAGAAAAAAAGCAGGGCTTATTTGTTGCAATGTTTTCTTCGGGTCTTTCACAGTAGCGGGGGTCAAAGACTCGTAAATGATTCTTGTTGGCTACAGTCAAAAGTGTTGGCCGAGTTCCAGCACCTCGCTATTTCCGGTGTTACTTCTCAAGCGAGAACTAATTTCAAGCAGCAGTATTGACTTCCTGAAGTTACTTTTTGTATGTTTGGTAATGTTTTTTATGCCAAATGCGGCTTCTGCGCCTACTCTCTACGCTTCTAGTTGTATGTAGGGCTGCTTTTTAGAGAGTTATGAGGCGTTTTATGAATCGCCAGGGATTTCCTTACGTGAAACCCAGATCGCTCCTTATTGACTTCTTTGTATATTCTCTTACGAAGTCTCGCATTTGAAGATACTGTTGAGACAGCACGAGAAATGCGCTACCTTGGGGCTCTAGCGCCACTAGGATGTTAACTGCACTTTTTAGCGGGGGTTGCAGGCTAAGAGTACTTGCCCGGGACTTTTTTAAAGTTGAACACAATCCCTAACCATCCTTCTACCGTATGTCTTCCAGTGTCACGCGTTTTTTTTGGTAGCCTGAAAAGTCCACTGTCACTACCAAAATTTCCAGGGTATGATTTTAGTTTTGCATGAGAACATTGAATTACCTCTACAGTTAAGTAAAACGTAGTAACAGATTCATAGCTGGTGTTGTCTAGCTCTATTAGTTAGTACCACTGAGTTACAGTTATATTTTTGTAACTGTTCGTTAACGACACAAAGCATATTTCCATACTCGGTTATTTCTGCCATTTTTTAGTCTGTCCAATAAAAACAATGAGTATTAGGCACTAAAAAGCGTTTATGAGCTTCGGAGAAGGTAAGAATCTAAAAAGCAGTTTGCCTTCTTCAATTTCTGAATTTTTTCTTTTTCAGTGAGGTACTTCGATGACATTGTTGGGTAGGCAGAAAGACAGCATACGACTAGTGAATGCGACAGTTAAAGCAGAAAATAAGCCCTCTATAGCTAATGAGTGGTTAGAATAGGAAAACCATTACTGATTGGGACCAACTAGTGGAGCATAAGGGACATGTTCCAGCAAAGAATACACTACCAATATTTACTCGGTTACGAGCAAATAATTCAGTACTTTTCTGCTGAGCTAAAACTACGCCCTGCAGACTGAGAACGAATGTTTCGGATTATCAGAATGAACTAGAAGACGAGGAACAGCCAAAAACCACAATCAATCTATAAACAGCCATTGATTTCCTACAAGAAAAGCGCAGTTAAGCCGCCTAATGGGACCAAAGCCATGGGTCATTAGCAATGAGCTATATCGGGAAGATGTCTGCATCCGCGGCTGTACACCGCAAACACAAAGAAGTTTTTAGACCCGAACTAGACGTCATGCAAAACTTCTCAAAAACCCTAAGAAACTGCACAAAAAAGTCCTGCATAAAGCCAGAAGCACAGCCACACTTGGCATAAAAAGCAGTCTCTACCCACCAAATTTCGAAAAACCTGCACGCAAAGTAGTAGAGCATTGAGTGCGTGCAGACAGCGGGAGCTAAGGAGTTTTGAGCCTCCTTCCCATCCTACCCGTACCTGGGAGCCATCCTAGCCGAAAACAGAAATTCTTCAGCACACCTTTTGAATTCATGGCTGTGTGCAGCAGTACCACTCACATGTAGCTCCTCTCTCTCCATATAGTTCTTTAGTACAACACAGGACGTGGGAATCAAGCTAAATGTTTCCAAGTGATCAAGCTACAGTAAACGCCAGAACCATTCAACGCAAACGACAAAGAATTTGCATAATAACTGCTACTAAACATCTTGTAACAACAGGAAATTCGCACCACAACCATTTTCGGTGTTGCTATTATGCAATTAACCTCGAAAAAGCTAGGGATTACAAAGATTATTCACATGTAATTGTAAGTAAAGATTATACCATCTAACCTTAGATTTGATTTCAGCCTAAGCTTAACTACAGAGCCACACCTTGAGCGTGGGGGAGCTTCCAAAACCAAGAATGGAACCATTTCTTTAGTAAGAACAGTGCAGAAAACTAAGTTTTGAGAAAGAAAATAAGGATCGCTGTTTAGCTTGCGCAATCCCAAACATCCCAGTTAATTAGGAATACAAAAATAACAGACACCCAATTGGTTAGAAAAACTTTGACAGCATCAAAACATTTCCACAAGTCAAACAGAAGACCAGTAGCCGCTCGAGTCAAGTAAGCAGTGCCAACTGTTTATAAACGTGCTTCTTGTATTCTTCGATGCCCCCATCAAGCTGGGTAACTGTACGGTCCCTTACTACCCAAAGCTCCTTACATACTAATTCAATTAGCCGCTCGTCATGGGTAACAATAACGACACCACCCTGGAAAAGTCAACAGTTATGCACTGATATTAGCTCCTATTTCTTACAGGTACTTAAACAAACCTTAAACTTTCTTAAAGCAGCACCAAGAGCTTCTACCGACTCCACATCCAAATGGTTCGTAGGTTCATCCATGATTAGGTAGTTCGGACTGGAACAGGTCTCTGATTTTCTCATTCAAGCAATAAAATATGATCCCTAATAATAATTATCAGAAATAACTTCGAAACAATGCGACCTCGTTAAAACCTTACTTCAGCATTGCCAAACATGTAAAGGCGACGCGAGATTTCTGACCTCCAGAGAGAGTTGCTACAGACTGTAAAGCCAAGTCACCTGACAGACCGAACCTTCCCAAGCTTGCACGGTACACCTCCTGGTTCTTTCCTTGAAAAAATACGACAGACTTATTTCAAAAGAATGTCGCAAAGTATGTTACAAATCGCATCAGAGGAGGCATTTACCGCAAGAGGGGGAAATACGCAAAAAAAAAAAAAAAAAAAAAATGGAAACCTGGGAATTTACTAGCTAAGAACTCGACAGCGGAAACGTCCATTTCAAGCTGGTCCACGTGGTGCTGGGTAAAGTATCCAATTTTAAGACGAGAATTAGCATTCCGAAAGCCACTGGTTGGGTTTAAGTCGCCAAGAAGTAATTTGATTAGTGTTGTCTTACCAGAGCCATTCTCACCTACCTGTAAGTCTCACACTGGTACTGACATTCAGCGTACACAGGGGAGAATAGCTCCAAAGCAACTAAAAACCGCTCTGCTAATGCAAAATAAAAATTTAAAGTAAACGCACAATGCAAATTCTCGAGTCTGCATGCGAACCGACATTCAAACTTTGAAATATTAGGGGAGACACAGTTGTGTACCTAAAAATCCGACATATAATAATGAAATACGTCACAAAATACTGCAAGTGAAATTGAGCTATACCTAAATGAAAGGTCCTCCAGCTGTAGAACCGAACCATGCAACATTTCACAATCAGGGAATGAGAAAACCACATCTGGTTCGATTACGACAGGCTTCAACACAGGCCTAAAATGCAGTTACTAATAGTAGAAGGGGTCCCAAACCTTTTTAAAAATTGCAAAAATAATTCATATGGCTTGCTAACAGCCTCTCCAACATCTTCAAACGACTCTGCACCATGCTGGCACGTTTCGCATTGTAGCGGAACTTGTCAATAAATTCCTGTGTGTGCTGGCGCAGTTGTTGCTGAGCTTCATATTCCCTAAAATTTTAGCGACGGTTGGTCTTTTGAAACAAAGTGAAAAAAATGACTTCAGAGCTGGATGAATGTCGAGACCTTTGCTGTTGCGTCAATTTTTCACGCATCGTCTTCTCAAATGTACTGTAATTGCCACGGTACTGGTCCAGTCTTTTTGAATGTAAATGGATAATATCAGTGCAAACTTCATTCAGAAAGCTACGATCGTGTGAAACAATAACAATAGTAGAGGTCCATTCCTTAAAAATAAGTGCATATCGGTAAAAAAACTCAAAAATGACAAAATAAATTTTAAAGGTTGTTCTGACAGTATCAAACAACTCAATTACTTTTAAGTGGTTTTCTAACCAAAATAACGCTCTCATGTCCAGCATATTTGTTGGCTCATCCAGGAGCAACAAATCCGGCCTAAAAATTCACGATAATGGGACAGCAAAAAGATTAAAAAATATGCCATAAAAGTAATGAAAACAACGACGAGTTTACTTCATGAATAGTGCTCTCGCAAGGGCAACTCGCATACGCCATCCACCAGAAAATTCACTGAAACTGGTCTCTGTACATATCAACTAAGCTAATAAGTTAATAAGAAAAGAGGTATGCTGCTGGAAATGTCTTCATTAGTAGAAATCTCAAAAGTCAATTCTAATAACTAATGTTCCCGACTTCTGCTGAAAAACCTCATTACGGCTTTACTCCCTGCGCCAAAACTATTCCAAATAACTTGAGTCATCTTTTTAACAAAAAGCAAGGCAGTCCCACCTTGTTGGACGATGCTGCTCCTCTGGAGTAAAACCTAAACCAAAAAGAACTGATCCAGCTTGAGCTGGTGCCTTATCTATTTGAGATGACTCCATTTCCGCGTAGAGAGAAGATAATTCTCCAGAAAACTTCTCACGTTCTTTCTCACTAATATCTTGTCTGAAAAACAGTTGAAATAAGAATCAAAAAGCCCGTCCAATCAAAAATTCCAATTTTATCAGTTCCAACCTGCCTAATGAAATGAAGCAGAAACTGGCCCTGAGTTCCGTTACAAATAAACTAACGCTATACCATCAACCGTGTTAAAATATATTTGCAGGGAACATTAATACGGTCAAGGAGCTGTAAGTCCTAATATACTTTAAAAAAATTAAAAAAGCATATGGTATCTTCACAACAGTCTTATCTGGAAAAGGCAGCACCCTACCGATTCAACAAACTTTGCAATTCTTTTTCCTTTGTGAACAACTTATTTCGCTTATCATCACTAGAAAGAACGGCCTGGATAACTTCAGTATCATCACCTTCGACTTCCTGTTCAACACTCAGCATAGTTATATTCGACGGTATCTTTAGTTGACCCCTAAAAAAGAAAATTTGTGTTATACTATTTTTCGAATAAGATCGTCAAATTCTCAAAAGTAAGTGGCACAAGTCGCAAAGATGTAAATTTTTCAATAAAAAAGACAACACCTACGAAGATAGCATTTTCAAAAAAGTCGACTTGCCAGCTCCATTACGCCCTACTAAGCCATAACGCCGCCCATATACTAAAGAAACATCGGCACCGCATAACAACTGCCTGCAAATAAATCATGGTTCAGTCATCAAACTCCAATGATAAAAGTCAACGATATACAGCCTCACTCGAAAGAACATAATACCGGGGACTTCTAATACTCAAGCTGCCCAAAGAAAAAACTCTACCCCTTCAAACAACGGAGAACAATGCATGAATCCATTCATCATGATTATAATGCAAAAGCTGATTATAAGTTCGTTGATTTCAGTAAAGCTGCCAGCTTCATTGAAAAAAAGAGAAAAATATTTATCTGTAGGGTTAACAGCACTTAAAAAATGTTTGTATCCAGAACAATGAGGTACAGCTTTATCATCTTTTGGCAAGGATAAACAAAAAATCCATGCGGTAAGCGAAGCTGTTCAAATGAATCAGTCGTAGATAAGCACGAAGAAGACGGTAAAGAAGATGCTTAACAAATCTAGAAAAGAACCATACAAAGATAAAAATGGTAAGACGTCATATTCGTAGACATAGTTCTTCAACATTCCCTGATATAAAAAAACTCCTCCCACCGGAACCTGCTCAACATGGTCCGGCCTGAAGATTCGAAATTCTGTCCCAGTGAAAATTTTGAAAAAACGGGAAATAATCTACATACTTTGTGCCAATGGATACATCAACACTTTCCAGATGGACATCTAATGACGATAATCCTCCCGCATCAATTTTAGCTTCTCGGCGGTTCGATGCCTGTGATGCTGTAGCAGTTAAATCTAACGGTCTTTTCTTTTTCTCTGTAGCTGTGGGATCTAAAATCCCTTTCTTAGCGGACTTCTCAAGTGCTTTCGCTTCAGCCCGTTGCAATTTCTTCTTGTTTACCAACTGCAATATAAAGGCCATTCCTTTTAACTTTCCAAGTAACATTTTTTAATCTTAAAAAAGTGTTTCAATCCTGTGTGCAATATTAAAACTGGAATGCATAAAAAAGTTAAACAATGATAAGAAAACGGTCTACAGTAGGAGTATCTCGGGTTGAAACCATCCATATACTGTCCAAGGGTTCATAGTCAAGACTTTGGGCACTTATATCAATGGTTCGTTCCAAACGTTTCTGACCAGTTTCGATTGACTTTTCTACCTCCTTCCTAATAATAATCAATACAGATAACCCAGTGTAAAATCTGGTAAAATGATAAGGTACGAACCGTTCACTGAATTCATTATAAAAATCAGCAACCTTATGACGTGATAGAAAAACAAGCCCAAGCTCGAAGCTTGGTCCCAAAATTTGTCGTGCAAACGTTACGCCGTTTTAGCTTTTTTTATTTACTCCATACTTAGGCAACAAATTTGAACGCCAATTTTAAATTTATTACTAAATAAAAGAAACCCATCATGTAGAAGAAGTATCAGCTTCTCGCATACTCTTTCTATTGCGTCATCTGATAAACCCTCGACAGAATTCTGAATATGATCGCCTACAGCATCCATAACATCGTCCTTCGAAGTGATTTCATCAGCATTTTCCTTTAATATTGCTGTAAAATTGGTATTTAAAAAAATGACTTTACAAGGAAGTTAACAAAGCAGAAAAATGAAAAATTGAAAACGAAAATTATAAAAATAATTATCCCATTAAAAGGAAGTAATAAAGTGATCAATCTCACAACCAATATATTACCTATCTAAGCGCAGATAAAAACCTACCAACAACGTAATCCATGATTTCCGTCGGCAGATTCGGAAAGGTAGACGCCAAGAAAGCCGAAATGGTCATCACTAATAATTTGAGAGTATTATAAACCCCGTCCAACACGTAAAAACTACTATAAGTAAATTTTTCTTTTAAGCCGTACTGTTGTGGCCAAGAAAAAAACAATTTCTGTTCATCCCGGTAAGCTTCCAGATTAAGACAGACAGAAAAAAACGCAGCGCATGCCTGGTGGGATGAGCGACGACCGTCGTTACCTCAAACCCCAGCCACTGCCTGATGACATGTAATCACTTTGGCGGTCTGCCAATGCTCTACCGTCGCTTGTCATTTTGATGATCTTGCTGACGTCTAAAGTGAAGGTTTTGCCGGGAGCAGCTAAGATCATCAGTAGATTAAATGGGCTTCTGAGGGAACAAAAAAATTGAATGGACTTTTATAATGCTGCTGAACTTGGTATTCTTTGCGCTCTACGAAGGAAGAAGATTAAGGGCTTTAGCAGCTTCAAATGGTGTTGGGAAACGGAGCAATTTTAGTAAAATTTTCAGGCGGAACAGCTATACAAAAAGGCTTGTTAGCCAAAAGTTAAAATTTGGAAAAGAATGAACTGTGCTGACACCAGTGAATAAATGGCACCAAAAAAGTACTGCTGTAGACTGCAAACTTCGTTTAGAGTACAAATTCTGCCATTGTTCCTCTAACAAATCACCTTCGTCCTCTCCCTGGCTGATCGCCATTGTCTCCTTTCATGTTTGCTTTCCACTTCATTGAGCTAGGAAGAAGAAGAAGTAATGTACAAGCAAGTTCCACTAAATTTTTGCTCAGAAAAATGGAACATTTTCAGCAGCCCTATCAAACCACCTCTACAATGTAGTACATCCATCAGAATCGCTCTTTAAAAAAACGTTGTTCTACAACTACTTAGAACCTTCATCACCACCCCAGCGCATCGACATTTCCACCAACCCACTCTGGTATCCTTCATCACTTTTACCAGCAGGAAGAGGTAGACGGAAGATACAACTCAGTTAAGTTAAGAATCAATAGGATAGTAATAGTACTGCAAACACAAAAACAACGTAATGTATAAAATAATATGATTTGATCATTAGGTCACTGCGGTGGCCTTCCCACCCGCCAGTCAGATTAAGTTAATGACTTTAACACTTTTTATTCTTTAAATTTCATTTATCATGATAAACAATCAGAACATAAAGTAAGATGTGCTGACAGTATGAAGAAATCTAATGTTTTAAAAAACGGTCTTTGGTAATAGGTAAACATAAAGTAACTACGGTCAACTTTACTGCATTTTTTTAAGATTAATTAGTTGCAGGTGGCTAGCACCTTCAATCCACTTGTTTTATACTTCATTCACGATGAAAGGTCCTACAAGTGCGCTTTACGGTTCCCGGGTACTAAAAACCACCGCAATAGCAATCACTTCAGATAGTAGTTTTGTTTTGCAAACCTTCATTTTTTTTAACTTTCAGGTGAATTAAAAGCACAATGTTTAGAAAAGAAAAGGGATGCACAGTCAAATACGACATAGCTTAGAAAGAAGACTTAAACCAAAAATGCTTCATTTTGAAATTAGAAACTTAGAAACTTAGAAAGAAGACTTCATTTTGAAACTTCATTTTGAAATCCACCTTATCTTCTTAGTGTACTGCAACAGAGTGGGCACGCAGAGCGTCTCTCAAAACCATATTAAACCTACATCTTTAAAGTTTTCAAGGTAAAACTAGTGTATCGGTTTCTCTCGTCTACAACCGCTATTCTTTCCATGATTAAGGAGTATTCGCTATTGCACAATTTCCATACTTGTTCCGCAATGATTCTGTAGACAAGAAGTCTAACTAGCAGTGTTAAAACCTCGGAATTTCTTGTTGGAATCTCACGGTAACATATTCGCTCCGCATATTGTTACAAAGGTAGTTGGTTTGAAGCATGTCAGCAAAAAATTAATATTGAAGACAAACTTTGAAACTATACGTAAAATGTCTCAGCAACTTTTAAACTCCAAAATAATAATTCGCAAGTAAAGGCTAGAAGGGATTATTTTCAAATTTTATAATTCATTTATGCTCCAAAATATGATAAAGAACGGAAGTTGAAGAATCCAAGATATGTAATAAAGAACCACGTCCTACTCTATACGCAGTACAAAGTATATAAGGTTAACTGTGCAAACAATCCGTTCGTGTTCTTCAAGCTCAGGTGGACTAAACACTCTGAAACTTGACGCCAACTCCATCCCAACCTCAAAACAGCCGGAATTTGTCCTGTACTAACAATACAGCTGCAGAAGAACAAACAAGAGCCAACAGCGTGTTAGTAATAACAAGGTAACCACGAGCACTCATCTTCAAGCAAATGCTGACGTAAGAACAAGCTTTGGTTCGAAAATAAGTGTAGTCTGAATCAAACCACACCAACAAATAAAGAAGCGCTAGAACCTAGCTTTTCGTAGTCACTCTTTGTAATCCAAGACAGTCGCATGGCAGCAAAATATGTTACTTGTTTTGCCTGCTAATTTGTCTCAGTCTAACGTTGAGTTTAAAAACACATATCAAGAACTTTATTTCTAAATCGATAAATGATCGAAATATATTACACTGCTTCATGTGCCACAGCTGCTTTTGTAGCTAGACAATAGTAGTAATAAACAGTAGAATATCAGTGACAAACGAAGGAAAGTAAGCAACTATTGTTTTAGAATTAAAAAGAAGATTTTGCCTCATTCAGTACAAACCTTACTGATACTAGGCACTTAATGCGTGTATATTAAAAACAACTTTTGAGAAAATTTTTTGCAGTGACTTGGTACCATTTCTGAGCTAAATGAGGTTTCATGAAAAAAAAAACAGCAAACTTTAACTGCGCTAACAATTAATAACCTGTTTATCACAGTTGGTCAAAATTGTGCACTGTGCTGCTAGTCTTGAGAGTCACTGTTGCTTCTTCATATTAAATTCAGTCGTCAAGAAGACTCCGTTCGAAAAAAAAAAACGGCCAAAACTTGCTGCGACTAAAAATAATCATCTATCATGAATATTCCTTGCCGTTAAGAATGCATTCTGCCTAAAAGTTTCATTTGAATCAGATTTAATCCTGTCAATGAAGTGCTTAAATCTGCCTCCTCACCTGTGATTGCAAAATACCTTAAATCTTCACTAGTTTCTCAGCAGGCATTCGCCTCGTATTTTAATAACCAAATTTTTAAAAAAGTCACCTTGCTTCTGTTCTTCTAAACACCTTAATAAGCTCAACAAACAATCAGTGGCAAGCATCCATTTAAGTTGATTACCAACTAGTTAGCTTTCATCCAAGGAAAATCGCTGCCGTACTCCTCTTTTCGAGTGACACAGAGGCTCCTTAAATGAAGTGAAATATTGTTCTGAAGGAAACCGATTT